TTATTGCTGTTATGTTAAGGGAAGACACAAAAGCAGTTCATGTTACTGATGTCTTCTGGGTAACTTATATAAACAAGATCATGGCAATCAGGAAGAAAGTTGAGTTGTAAAACTGTCACTCAAAGTCAGAGGTTTACTTGGACTTTTGTTTATCAGTTAAAAGCCATAACATTTACATTCCCATGTTAGGGTAAGATAGTAGTAGCTCTGCGTTAAGACCTGTCAATTCTTATCTAGAAAATGAAATGCACAAATGTAGAACTTATCTATAAGAAACAGATGTGTCCATGTCCAATCATCTTCTAATTATTTAAGAACATTTAAATAACAGAATAATAAGAATATAAGCCCAAATTTATGGGATTCTTCGCTTATGTTAAAGATTAATTCAACATGATGCGATCTTTAGAAATTGCACAAATATGCTCTAAGTTCTAAACAAATTAGCTTTCTACCATCTTAAGTTCCTTGTCTGTAAACCTTCCAGCTGGAACAGGGATGGGCAAGATTACTTTCTCCTAGAAATGCAGTGGTACCCCGCAAGACGAACGCCTCGCAAGACGGAAAACCCGCTAGACGAAAGGGTTTTCCGTTTTGGAGGCGCTTCGCAAAACGAATTTCCCTATGGGCTTGCTTCGCAAGACGACAGCCCATAGGAAATCTCAGGGACAGCGGGGAAGCGCAGCGCGTCTTCCCCACTGTCCTCGGACCTCCTCCGAAGCCTGGCGGCGGGGCAGGGACACCTCCTCCCGCCGCCGCCGGGCTCGGAAGGCTCCTCCGGGCCGGGCGGGGAGGGAACACCTCTCGCCGCCCGGCTTCGGAACGGTGCTCCGGCCGGGCGGGGGAGGGAACACCTGCCGCCGCCGCCCGGCTCGGAACGGTGCTCCGAGCCGGGCGGGGGGAGGGAAGACCTCCGCCTCTGCCCGGCTTCGGAACGGTGCTCCGAGCCGGGCGGTGGGGAGGGAAGACCTCCCCGCCGCCCGGCTCGGAACGGTGCTCCGGCCGGGCGGGGGAGGAACACCTCCGCCGCCGCCCGGCTTCGGAACGGTGCTCCGAGCCGGGCGGGGGAGGGAAGACCTCCGCCGCCGCCCGGCTCGGGAACGGTGCTCCGAGCCGGGCGGGGGGAGGGAAGACCTTCTGAAGGCGGGCGGGGGCGAAGTCTTTGCTCCCCTGCCTGCCTGTCCCGGAGGGCTTTGAAGGCGGGGAGCAAGACTCGCCCCGCCCGCCTTCAGAAGAGGTCCAGGACCTCTTCTGAAGGCTGGCGGGGGCAAAGTCTTTGTCCCCCTGCCTGCCTTCCCAGGGGCTTTTAAATTGCCCCGGACAGCGGAGAAGTCCTCCGCTGTCCCGGGTGATTTTAAAATGCCGCCCGCCCGCAGTTTAAGATCGCCCGGACCGCGGAGAAGTCCACCGCGGTCCCGGGGTTTTTAAAATGCTGGGGGTGGGAAGAAAAGCCCTTGCCCCCCAGCCTTCAGAAGAGGTCCGGGGACAGACTGTCCCCGGACCTGGTCTGAAGGCGGTTTCCCTAGGAACGCATTAATTGATTTTCAATGCATTCCTATGGGAAACCGTGCATCGCAAGACGAAAAACTCGCAAGACGAAGAGACTTGCGGAACGAATTAATTTCGTCTTGCGAGGCACCACTGTGCTACCCTGCTGAAATTCTAAGATGTAAACATTTGTATAAGAAATGTATTGTAACTATTATTTATTATCCTAGTCTATTTTATATTTTGATGTCTAGGCTTTACTGGAAAAGCATACATTTATAAAAAAAACCTGAAATTGGCATGAAAAGATCCTTACTTACTAATTCTTGCTACTATGGATCAAGAATTGAACACACCAAAACAGTTCTAAGTGAAACTGCTTAACTGTCTTAATCATATGTAGGTGGCTAACAAATAGCCTAAAGCTTCCCAACTATTAAACAATACATTAAGAAAAGTTTAGTACTTAACAAATAACCAACATTATTTCAACATGTAATAGCTGCAAAATCAGTGATATTCCCAGTGCACTGTGAAGGCCTTCCAGGAAAATTGGATCAAACCAACTCAAGCAACTGTGACAAGCAGTGACTTCTGGCACCCAGGTATAGATTCTGAATCAACCGCAGCATACAAACTGAGTGAAATTTGAACATGACAAGATGAGAAAGGCTGTGCCTGCAAATAATCCACTACAGCTTGGATCAACTGCACCCATAAGCAAAGAGTTGTAGTAAACAATAGATAGCGCCCCCTCTCAAGAAAACAGATACAGCACTAAGAACATTATAACGAGGAAGAAATGTGTTGAGGTGCAAACATAGCTTTCCATCACTCCTCCCTGGCTTTTCCACAATATTTATGTCTGTATGTGGTTCCTCAAACTTTGGGACAGCTTGTTCTGGCATTTTTCCTTCCTTTTAAAAGCAGGGTTTAGCAATATCATTTAGGTAACTAAGTTTTAAAATGAGTATCTCAATTGGAACAATTGTCGCATGTGCTAACAGCGTTCAAACAGTCTGGACAGAGATTAACATAGTGACATGTCCAATTTGCCGTGTTCACTTAAATTAACCACCCTCTAATGAGACTATTCTTCAATATCATCTTCATTATTAATTGAGGGCAAAGTAGTTCTTACAACGCAACAGTTCCCACTTGTTTTCCTTGCACTTTTTGCAATTTATCTCACTGACAATCCCATTTGTGTCACAAAACCTTCTACTTACAGTAAATTCAAATTCCTAAACTATCATTCTAATTCTTAGTCAAGGTAGGTAAGCTTATGAGGCAAGACTACTTCATATTCATAGCAGAAGATTGGGACATTTTAGGTGGCCAAAAGGTAGGAATGCAAATCTGAGTAATACCTGAGCTTAGGAAAGAGCACAGCAACTTTAGCCCTGACCTGCACCCTGAGGCAGTGAGAGGTAAAGGTGTTTCCTCCACAGCCAGTTCCATAAAACATTTGTTAATTGGACACGACACTCACAGAGTGCAAATGCAATAATGGTTTTTTGGTTTTTTAATACTCTATTTCTTCTCTATTTCTTCAACCACAAAATATTAGATGAGCATATTTAAACCTGATTTAGAATATATTTTCCCATTTCCACATTTCTCAAGGCCGTTAACAGGGCTTGACTTCTGTTTTAATTTTGCAGAAGTCTTGGTTCTTTTTACTTTTTACTAAATAACACTGGTAAAGGGGCCCCTGACCATTAGGTCCAGTCATGGCCGACTCTGGGGTTGCGGTGCTCATCTCGCTTTATTGGCCGAGGGAGCCGGCGTACAGCTTCCGGCTCATGTGGCCAGCATGACTAAGCCGCTTCTGGTGAACCAGAGCAGCGCACGGAAACGCCGTTTACCTTCCCGCCAGAGCAGTACCTATTTATCTACTTGCACTTTGACATGCTTTCGAACTGCTAGGTTGGCAGGAGCAGGGACCGAGCAACAGGAGCTCACCCTGTCACGGGGATTCGAACCGCCGACCTTCTGATTGGCATGTCCTAGGCTCTGTGGTTTAACCCACAGACTGCAATGTTAAAGGCTGGTACTGCTTATTTTTGCATTTTCTTACACTAGCAGAACAATCGTTCCAGGCCGTGGGATGTTTGGATTCAGCAGAGGCATCATACTGCTCAGCTCTCTGGACTGAGGAGGCATCCTGCCAAGCACTGAGGTGAGTGACACGCTGGTGTGGCATTGATGTATAGGTCATTTCTAATATTGGGCTATTTTATATTTCAGTGTCTATGTTTTATTGAGAAAGTACAAATTTATAATAAAAAAATGGATTCAAGGAATCTTCCTTACTGATTCTCGCTACTACAAAACAAGAATTGATCACACCATAATTTTACGAGTAATCTCTGTTGCAAAACTTTCTGTTGTTGTTGACAACGAGAAACAAAAATATGCACAGGATTACAGCCTTAATCAAATGTTCATTGCACTTTAAAACAGAGTGCAACATTCCGTCTGTAACCATCTGCAATAACTTAATTTTGTATTGGTGAAATCAAAACAAAATTGCATTGTTTCCTAAATAAAACTGTAGTAAACAACCTCTCATGTGACTTTTGTTTCATATATTACACACCCCCACACACCCTTTTCTAGTGAGATTACTTCAAGGAAAATAAAACTTCTCTTGTCAATTACATTTCTTCAGTTGATTTCCCATTAAACATAGAAATAATTTGTTTTAGTAATATCCTGGGATATGCATTCCTCTACTTCAGCTAGATGTTTTTGAACTTTCTTCAGGCCCAAAGCTGCATAAGGAGTGGAGATTTGACATACACTATTCAACAGTATTTTTTTCAGAACTCCATTTTTATTTCTTTTTTAAAAATTATCTTTTACTTAATCAGCTTACAGCCTGCTCTTCCTTGAGGAAGCTTGAAGTGACACATTTGGGGTTGCAGGCAATCTCTTATCCAGGCACAGATTAGGATCAGAACCCTGTTTTGAATACTATAACATAGTCTATGAGAGTCTTCTGGAGACATTGTGGAAAGAGTGATCAGATGATGAGGGGGAGGAAATAGGGGAGTTGGAGATAGACCAATCCCAGGAAGGGTCTGATCCATGTTGGCTGTGGGTTTTTGTGTTAATCTCTGAAATTACAACCCAGCACCTTTCTTTCTGACCCCCTGGTCAATGAACCCTATTGTTCAATGCACCCCATTATCCATCACAAATAACTTATATCACTCCTCTTAACCCTTGCAAGCCTGGAAGTCGCTCAAAGCTGGAAAGCCATGGACACACGTTCTAAGGACATGTAGTGGTCTTGAGTGTTGGACACAGCACTTTCAGAACACATAAACTATCATCGTACTTAAGGCAATTGTGAAAGATAATCTTATATTCTTGTAGTCACGGCTGGGAATAGGCTTTTCTCTCTTGGGTGATTTAGTACAGTGTTTTGCTTGTAGATAATGCACTGTTGCTTCTGTGGTGCCTGTGTTATGTTAACATGTTTTATTAAAATTAATAAAAAAAGAGTGCTCGCTTCGGCAGCACATATACTAAAATTGGAACGATACAGAGAAGATTAGCATGGCCTATGCACAAAAAAAGACAACAAAATGATTTGGACTCCTTGGCAGGTTTTGAATAAACATACACAAATTTATTTGTTGAATATATGATAGATAAGGCAATGATATGTACAATTTTACAAAATACAAAGGATAATATGTGTAAAGAAACTGGAGAGAAAGCTGAGGGAAGTCCTTGGGTGGGGGAGAGGGAGGGAGGAGAGGGGATAAAAAAGGGGAAAAAATGTAAATGGATATATTGATTGATAAGCTGGTTGATTAGCTGGTTAACTAGCAGTGTGTGTGTGTGTGTGTGTGTGTATAGACAAAAAAAAAGAAAAATAAGAGAAGTGGAATAGGGTAGATACTACCTGTGACACCTCTCTCTCTCACACCCACACACCCACACACTGCTAGTCTGGTGACAAATGCACATAGCAGACCAGGTGAGTGACAATGCAAGCAGAATTGTATGATACATTTCAGAAATGCAGTAGTTGGGCAGACATAACAAAAGTACATGAACTAAACTTATTACTTTGATGGTGAATGGGAAATCAAAATGGTATTCCTCTGCTGCCTTGTTCAGGATAATTCCACTACTTTAGTAACTCTGCTAAATCTACTTCAAGATGCTCAGCTAGATGTAAAATCAGGTTATCTCCAAAGCACTGTTAACAGGCATATGGATGCAAATATTATACATGTGATTCAATTCTTGCATATATTTTTTTAAAAACTTGCTAAACAGCAGTGCACTGAAAAATGCAGATCAACCTTGACAGTTCTTGTGACTACAGATCCACCCACTTTTTTGTTTTCCCCATTAACACCTAATTATGAAACTGAGCAGATGTTTTCTTGATGAATAGTATAAAATCTGCGAAATTAATTAGTGAAACAACATATAATATTTGTAAACTTACAACAGCCTATATGTAACTGGGCTAATTGAGAGAACAGAGTTGAGCATGGATGCTTTCAGTATGTCCAGTGTGCAGTAATGGCTGAAATGAAATTACTTACATTACATTATTCCCACCAGTTCTCTTTTTAACCTGTTTGTGAAAACCCAGCTCACTGAGTTCTGGATTTTTATGAGTGGCAAGCTTCAATCCAAAACTAAATCCTGTCTACCTTCAGTCCTTGCTCCATATTTCTTTTGTCATGTTAATGGCCATGGCGTGGAAAGGAAGCTTAGCCTGCATTTTTCCACCGGCCTGGCATCTTCCCCCTTCAATACTCACAAAATCAGCTAAATTAATTTCTAACATTCACTGACCCTAACAGTTATGGGTGCCCTTGCGCCCCCAAACTCTGTTGCCCCTGATCTGTAACAGCACTTATGAAGGTGCCAGGTGAAAACCAGGGCTTTATAACTAGGGCTTTGACTGATTAAACAATCATAAAGAAGGCTGATCGCTGAACAATTGATGCTTTTGAATTATGGTGCTGGAGGAGACTCTTGAGAGTCCCATGGACTGCAAGAAGATCAAACCGCTCCATTCTGAAGGAAATCAGCCCTGAGTGCTCACTGGAAGGACAGATCGTGAAGTTGAGGCTCCAATACTTTGGCCACCTCATGAGAAGAGAAGACTCCCTGGGAAAGACCCTGATGTTGGGAAAGATGGAGGGCACAAGGAGAAGGGGACGACAGAGGCCGAGATGGTTGGACAGTGTTCTCGAAGCTACCAGCATGAGTTTGACCAAGCTGCGGGAGGCAGTGGAAGACAGGAGTGCCTGGCGTGCTCTGGTCCATGGGGTCACGAAGAGTTGGACACAACTAAACGACTAAACAACAACAACAACCTTTTAAATGTGTTTAAGGGGGGTTCCTTTTGTTTGATTTTTGGTTATTTATTTTGTGTTCTTATTTTGTAATTTTATGTTCTGAACTGCCCTGTGATCTTTGAATGCAGGGTAATACATACAGTGGTGCCTCGCAAGACGAAATTAATCCGTTCCGCGAGTATCTTCGTCTAGAGGTTTTTTCGTCTTGCGAAGCAACCCTATTAGCGGCTTAGCGGATTAGCGCTATTAGCGGTTTAGCGGCTATTAAAGGCTTAGCTGCTAAAAGGCTATTAAAGGCTTAGCGGCTTAGGAAAAGGGGGGGGAAAGGGGAAAAAAATCTCAAGACTCGCAAGACATTTTCGTCTTGCAAAGCAAGCCCATAGGGAAATTCGTCCTGCGAAGCGCATTGAAAAACGGAAAACCCTTTCGTCTAGCGGGTTTTCCATCTTGCGAGGCATTCGTCTTGCGGGGCACCACTGTAGTTGAACCCTTGATTTTTATTTCCTTATGTGATATTTCTTCTGCTTTTTTTAAATGAAGCTATTGTTCCCTGCCCTGAGCTCTTGAGATTAAAGCTGAGCTATAAATATTTTAATTAATTAATTAAACAAAACATTTTGGTTAGAAAAGGTGTCAACATTGGAATTAATCAAGCATGAGGATTGTGGAGTTTTATTTTTTGCAGTGTGTGTGTATGTGTGTGTGTCTGTCCCCATTTTAGCCTCAGAAAATACCCCTGAACTTCCAGAGGTATGTAATGATATTTGCCTTTCCACATTTAAATGTAGTTTATGACAAATGTTGCAGAAGTTGGACTTAGAATTAACCATATGCAATGTTGTTTTCTTTGCTGTTACCTTATTTGTCAAAAATGCATTCAACCTTCAAATGCAAATGCATATAGAATGGTTTAGAAATGTGGACAATTCATATTTTAGAAATATGTTAAATTGTACCAGAAATTAACAGTAAGCCTGGAAGCAAAATTCCATTTCCCCTCTGAAATGCTTACAATACCATTTTGATTTGAAACAGATGCAAATCATTAATCTTTTTGGCATAAAAGGTTAATTATTCAGCAGATAAAATCCAAAAAGGTGGCTTTCCAGCTTGATGTAGGAATGAAAATGCATGTCATCTCTTCAGAAAACCAGAACAAGGAAAGTTATGAGAGCAATTACCTACATAATGTGCAGTAAAATGTGGAAAATTTAACTCCAAGAGGGCTGGCAAATTCTCTGCTGAAGCAAAGAGGAATCTTCCTAATGTTTCGTTTCCACCTACAGTCAAATGGACAACAAAATTCAAATCCAAAACTGGATATTGAAAGGAGACACAACACACTCATTCGTGCTATATCTAGGGCTCCATCCATATAGCTGCTACTTGATTTTCTCAAATCTGTACAGGAGTGGGGAACCTCAGGCAAATACATCCCTCCGGGTTTCTATATCTGGCCTTCAGCATTCTCCACGGGCCATACACCCCTCTCCAACCAGCCCTCCTTGAGTGTTTTTGCCTGAGTAGAATGTGTTCTTGAACTCTGAAAATGCCTCCCCTTGCTTGCCTGAATGGAGGATAGAGGGAATGCAGAGTTTGTGTAGAAAGTAGCCTATTGTGCAAAGATAAAATAAAATAGGCTTCGATTGCTCCATCCACTTTTCTGTCTGGCTCTGCCCACCACTGTCATGTGGCCCCTGGAAAGATGTCCAGGGGAGAATGTGGCCCTTGCACTGGAAAAGGTTATTCACTCCTGGTGTAGCAGCTCATATATATTTTTTTTGTAGGGTAGAAACTAAAGCAAGGCAATAAGATGAAAGTCATGTTTGCTTCAGAAGTTAAAATATTAAACGGCAAATCACTGTGACTTGTGGAGCAGAGGCACCAACTGCATCTACCGTTTCTTTGTGGACTGTACTATTCACAGTAATTCTCTTAAGGTGCAATCCTATACACAAGAAGTTGGTGTAAAGCAAGCCAGTATAAGTTAAGCCCCAAACCCCATTCAGCAGAAGGGCTGCTACTGTTCTGACTATGCTCGGCAGAGGGAAACCAAGCCTTTAAAATAGTGTCCTGTGTGGGGTGAACAGGTCATGTGAACAAGCTAAACGGGCTTAGGATGCAACCTAAGTCTGGTCCTGTCCCCAGAATACCCTCTTTTGGAGCCTTACACTGGCCTCGGTTCAGCCACATTCAACTCAGCCAAGATGAGAAACTGATGCCAACTTATCTGTGGTTTATTTGTGGCTGAGCTGGACTTGACACTGGCTGTACTGGAGATCCACTGCATCCTAAACCGCTCACCCCTGCAGATCTTGCCATTAATTTGCCCCTTAAGATGCCTTCTAGAGTAGCCCTGCTTAACTTAGGAATTGTAACTATCTCAGTGTAGTGCATTGGCCATCCCGGCTTGCCATACCAGGAATTGCTGTGTCAGCTCTCAGGCAGTGTGCACTTAACTTTTAGTTCTGCATTAAAATGGCAACCTGTTGCAAGGTTTGCTCCCTCCACAAAATGTTTTGTATTAAAAGAGTCATTCGTCTACATCTGCTGTGTGGAGTCCTCTTCATGACACTTTTTACTGGTGGCAAGATTGGGACACTTTTCAGGTACACACAGTGTGTTTTCTTGGACTAAAGACTGGATGAGACACACCTTGGGATTTGTGGAAGCCACTGCAAAGCACTCCAGTTCAGTCTGTATATTGGGTGGAATATGGCTACCCAAAAGCTGACTGAAGGCTTTAACCCTGCAGCGTTAGAAACTCAGATATATAAGCTAGGTGCCAAGTGACTCCTTGAACCAAGGTTGAAGTCGCCAGAACGGAATCTTTAGCTGCCATTTTAGGGCCGGGAGGCTCGAAAGTCCTATTTTTCAATAGGTCTTTTTGGTTCCTGAAATTTGCTCTGATTGTGCAGATAAAATATCACAGATAAAATTCTAAAGGACGTGTGCATGTGTGAAAACAGGCAAGATCCAAAGATTGTCAGGAATGAACCTCCAGACTGTGGAGACGTCAAGTGCCATCCTGGTGCCTGGGCGTCTTCACTTGGTCACAAGTTGTCAATAACCAGGTAAACCTGGTGAATTTTGAAGGCTGCCCTGTGTATCCTTGGAAATGTTAAGTTCATGGCACTGTCCTTGATTTTCTCTTTCCCGTTCCCCAGAGTTACTTTTCTCTTTCATTTCTCAGGCAAAGTAGCATTCATTTGGGTAAACAAGAGAAATCACGAGTCAACTGAGGGTAAAGATTACAGGCATCATATCAGGAGGAACAATGGAA